GATCCAGGACACCCTTCAGGGCAAACCAGCCGGCCCCCACCAGTGCACCAGGCCTCTGTCCTATATAGTAAAAGGGTAATATGCCTCCCAGCACCGGGATCAGCGGAGCCGAGAGGCCTCCCGGCACCGGGATCAGCATGACAGGGGGCAGCGCCCAAACCCCCTGATCGCCCTGCGGCTCTGTGTGTGACAGGGGGCGGGGCCACAACCTCCCTATCCGCCCTGCTCTGTTCATGACAGGGGAAGGCGCCCCAACCTCCTGATCAGCCCTGCTCTATGCCTGATAGGGGGGAGCTCCCCAATCCCCTGATTGCCTTGCGGCTCTGTGTGTGACAGGCTGCGGTGCCCCAACCCCCTGATCGGCCCTGCTCTGTGTGTGACAGGGTGTGGCGTCCCAAACCCCCCAACCCCCAACGGGCCCTGCTCTGTGTGTGACGGGGTAGAGCCATAACCTCCCCATCGGCCCTGCCCTGAGTGTGACAGTGGCGGCGCCCCAACCCCCTGATTGGCCCTGCTCTGTGGGTGATAGAGGGCGACGCCCCAACCGCCCCCCACAGGCCCTGCTCTGTGTGTGACGGGTAGAGCCATAACCTCCCCATCGGCCCTGCCCTGAGTGTGACAGGGTGCGGTGCCCCAAACCCCTGATCCGCCCTGCTCTGTGTGTGACGGGGTGGTGCCCCAACTCCCCTATCGGCCCTACTCTGTGACAGGGGGGGAGCTCCCCAGCCCCCTGATCGGCCCTGCTCTGTGCGTGACAGGGGGCAGCGCCCCAACCCCGATTGGCCCTGCTCTTGTGTGACGGGGTGGCACCGCAACCTCCCCATCGACCCTGCCTTGAGTGTGACAGGGGGCAGTGCCCCACCCCCCCCAATCGGCCCTACCCTGAGCGTGACTGAGGGTGGCATCGCAATCTCCCAATCCGCCCTGCTCTGTGCATGACAGGGGCGGCGCCCCAACTCTCCAATCAGCCCTGCTCTGAGCCCGACCAGGGGCTGCACCTAGGGATTGGGCCTGCCCTCTGCCACCCGGGAGCAGGCCTAAGCCAGCAGGTCATTATGTCCCAAGGGGTCCCGGACTGTGAGAGGGCACAGGCCAGGCTGAGGGACCCCCCTTCCCCCTGAGTGCACAAATTTTTTTGCACCAGGCCTCTAGTCTTACCTAATAATAGGCAAACATATAAATTAACCATCCCTCCACTACGCCCACCAGCCAATCAGGAGAGTATGCAAATTAACCCACCAAAGATGGCGGTTAATTTGCATACGTGGGTGCGAAGTGGCAGAGCAAAGACGGAAGGCTTCGGGCTGGAGCAGAGAAGACGGAAGGCTCTGGGCCGGAGCGAAGGCCTGGGTCCCAGGTGCTGGAGGAAAACCGGTGCCGGCAGCCAGGGGAAGGGAAGGCCTATTGCACGAATCTCTTCATGCAATGGGCCTCTAGTCCTGTATAATAAAAGGCTAATATGCAAATCGACCTAACAGTGGAATGACCTGTCACTATGACGTGCACTGACCACCAGAGGGCAGGCGCTCAATGCAGGAGCTGCCCCCTGATGATCAGTGCACTTCCACAGAAGGAGTGCCACTCAGCCAGAAGTCCTGAGCTGGGCGCACGGCTGGCGAGTGCAGTGGCGGTGGTGGGAGCCTCTCCTGCCTCTACAGCAGCGCTAAGGATGCCAGACTGCCAGCTTAGGCCCACTCCCAGCTGTCAGTCGGATATCACCCGAGGGCTCCCAGACTGCGAGAGGGTGCAGGCCGGGCTGAGAGACCCCCCGAGTGCACAAATTTCGTGCACTGGGCCTCTAGTTGTTATATATATTATGGGGGAAATTAAAATATAATGAATTTGGAAGGTCTTTAGGAAGGATTAATCTTCACTAAGCATGAGAATCTCCTAGTTGGGGAAGGTGTCTAAAATACTAGTACAGTGAATTAGGCAATGTATTTTACCAAAAGTCAAGCATTACCAAACACCAGTAAATATACATTTAAAAAATCTTAAAATATATATTATCCATGGCAAAGTTCTTATCCAAATCTCAATACTTCAGGGATTATCATGATATTAAGTTTGGATTGAAATCTTACAAATTTTATGAGTAATGATGTTCGAATGTTACAAAATATTAAGTAAAATGTAATGAACATAGAAAGACTATAATCAATGCTTAAAACTTCAGAAACATCACATAAAGAATATGGCAGTGGCATTTTATCCAAAATGCCTTTATCTCATTCTTACTGGACAGAAATGTTCCACATGTACGGATTTGAAAGAAACATGTGTTTCATGATGGATATTATCTCACGGATATTGCCTTAAAGTTCATTGAAGGTTTAAATGAGACCTTTGGAAATTTGATAAGATTGCTTTATTTTCTTTAGGGTTCATCTAAAAGAGGATAGAAATCTCTACCAAATGCTCTTAGAAATATTGTAAAAGTATCCCATGGGTGAAAACAAATTCAAGTGTTTTCCAAAGGGTATATATACTTTACAGGGTTCATTATCCACACTAAGAGAATCTCATAAGTAGAAAACAAACAAAAAATATAAAAAGTATACCGATAAAAACATACAAGAGTTACTCTTGTATAAATATAAAGTGAATTTGAAATTGTATTACATACAGAAATTAATGACAAATGAATTATGTCAAAAAAGTTTATCTCAACAAAATTTTTTTATCATTCTCAAGTGCAGAATATATAAATACCAATAAAATTTATATTTATTTTGTAAAAGTTATTGCTGTACATATTTTAAATAGACGGTGACCTAGCTCTAGCCGGTTTGGTCCAGTGGATAGAGCATTGGCTTGCGGACTGAAGGGCCTGAGTTCGATTCCAGTCAAGGGCACATATCTCGGTTGTAGGCTCCCGGCCCTGGTCAGGGGCATGTGGGAGGCAAGCAATCAATATGTCTCTCACGCTGGTGTTTCTCTCTGTCTTTCCTTCTCCCTTTCAGTCTCTCTAAAAGTCAATGGGAAAATATCCTTAGGGGAGGTTTATTAAAAAAAAAAAAAAGGAATGGCTGGGGGGGAGGTCAATTGGGGAAAAAGGAGACATATGTAAAACTTTAGACAATAGCCCTAACCGGTTTGGCTCTGTGGATAGAGCGTCGGCCTGTGGACTGAAGGGTCCCAGGTTTGATTCCAGTCAAGGGCATGTACCTTGGTTGCGGGCACATCCCCAGTAGGGGGTGTGCAGGAGGCAGCTGATCAATGATCCTCTCTCATCGATGTTTCTAACTATCCCTCTCCCTTCCTTGCTGTAAAAAATCAATAAAATATATTAAAAAAAACTTTAGACAATAAATAAATAAAACCTCAAAATAAATTTTAAAAAATTAGATAGTAACCTAAATTATCACATGCTTCATCCTTCCAGCTTTTGTCCTTATGTTACCTAGTTTATTAATATTGAAAATAGGAAGGAAGCAAAGGGAAGGTCAGACTTTATAAGCATGGTCATCTTGGGAACCTCACCAGTAAGCTGGGAGTTCTCTACCCCGGGAACTCCAGGTTTATTCCCTGCCAATCACTGGGTGAACAAAGGGGAAAAATCTGTGCATGTGCAGTGAAGTTGAGATGACTAGGGAAGGTGCTTTCCTGTCAGTCTAGCCAGGGAACAAAGATTATTGGTCAGGAGGGTGAATCCCAGTGCAAGCCCAAGAACATCTGGGAACACATAATCCCCAGACAAAGGAATTCTCTTGTTCCTCTTGCTTGCTTGCCCTTGCACCCACTTGCTCTGTGACTTGCACCACCCTGCCATGTGTCCCTAGAAGCTGCGTGGCCCATGGCTTTGGGGACCCATGCGCAATGGACTGCAGCTGGGAACACAAGCTAAGCTGGCCAGATGCTGGACTGGATTGTGCTCTAACGTGGAACGGAAACTCTGGGCAGTGGCTTTGTTTCTAGCAGGACTGAAAACAAAAATGGGACTTTTTCCATGGTGGGACAGAGGGGGACCCAGCATTGGAAGGGAACTCCCTTTATGTTACCTCATCAATAATGCTTTCTATGATAACCTCACCCTCCAGTGGGGGCCTCAGGAAATTCTTGTTCCAGTCCCACCCCAAGAGCTCCACTTCCACCAGCAAGAGGTAAGGACATGGAGGACACCCCACCCATAACACAAAAGTCTCTGAACCTGAGCACAAGACTGAGCCCAGGGTGATTGGGGAACAGGAATGGAAATAATGTTCTGATATATGTCCCAGTGATTGGCAGGGAAGAAACCTGTGGTTCCCTGGGGAGAATATGTGATATATGTGATGGCATATTTTGCAAAGGTAGAATTTTGAATTTCACATTCAAGTTTGCATCCTCTGCACAGACAACTGCACTCCTTGCTTCATCTCATTGCTTAAATAAACAAACAAATAAGTAAATAAAGTCTAATTCGGGAGACCTCCTCCACAGCTTGCAATGTCAGTGCCGTTTCCCAGACTCCAGAGCTGGAGTTCAGCGGGCGTCTCTGCCAAGCAGGCGTGTCCACCACTTCCCACTCGCGGTTTTGAGTACATCTGTTTTCAGGCTGTTAAAACAAAGACATTTTTGCTTTCAACCTAAGTGGCCCACAGGACTCTACATATTAAACTGTTTGAAAATCAACTTAAAATGGGCAGGGAGTAGCCCTGCTTCACAAAGGAAACGGAACAGGCTCAGGACTCAGAAAATACAAACTCGGAGCCAGGTGGACGGGAGCCAGGGTCCAGACACTGACCGTCCCGGCGCTGACCCGGGCCGCCCTCCCGGGCGCCCGCTCCACCCTCCCGAGGTCAACGCCCCTCCGAGCGGCCGGCGGGGCCACCGCGTCCTCCCGCAGGCCCTCCCCCGCTCCTCGGCCGGACCCCAACCCCCGCCCCCGCGCGCCCTCGCCCTCCTCCCCGCCCCCCGCGGCCGGCGCCCCTGGCGTTGGCGCGGCCCTGGCCACCGTCCCATTGTCCGCGGAGTCCAGGCCGCCCGAGCCCCGCCCCCGCTGGCCGCTCCGCGCACGCGCCGTTCCTTCCGGACCCGGAAGCGGCCCGCGCAGGGGAAGGTCACTCCGGGTCTGCGACTTTTGGCCTTTGTTGTGCGAGCCCAAGCATCTCCGCGCACAGCCCTGCGCCTGCGAAGCCCGGGGTCGCGGCGGGCCTGGGGATCCCCAAACCGCGTCTCCAACGGGGTGAGTCTCGCCTCCCGAGCCCTGAGGGCTTCGCTTCCGGGTGGAGGGTCCGCGTTAGTTTCTGGTTAAACTCTTTCTGGTCTTTTCTTCTTGGGGCCACTGCACACCGCCCCCCGCGCGTGGCTCTCACGGGCCAGCCATCCAGCCATGCCACCCCAGGCCATTTAAAGTCCGACCCTCCGCTCCCCTCCCCAGCCTCGCAGTTCCCGGCCTGGAGCGCCCGATTCCTCCCCGGCCTGGGAACCTGCAGGCCCCCTTCCCTTTGAAGGCACCCCCCTCCCGCCACCTCCCACTTGCTAAGTAGGAGGCCGGATGCCAAGAAGAGTACACTCTCCAGGGAGCTGGGATTTAGGACAGAAGAACACGGGGTGTCCCAAGAAGAGGTCGCCTACCCCCTGGCGGGGAGTGGCTTTGTGCAGGCGGTGGCTGCGACGGGGAGGCCAGGAAAGCGGCCCGGTGCGGGGGGTGCGGGGGTGCGGGGGATCCAGAGACAGGGCTGCTGAGAAGTCACAGAGGAGCGAGGTCAGCCCACAAAGAGACGCCGAAACTGAGGACGTGGGAGGGCCTGGTAACGCCACGGTAAGTGGGAAAGAGTAACTCGGAAAAGTAGCAGATGGAGAAAGAAAATAGAGAGCCCGGGAGGAAGGGGCGCCCTTGGTTGGCAGAAGTGGGGCACAAAGGCCCAGGCACTTCAGATGGAGAAAGAGAGTCGGAGGAGCCCAGTGCCGAACGGAAAGGGAGGAAGGGATGGCCGAGCAGAGGCAGAAGCAGCGCCGACAGCTTAGCCAGGTGGGGAAGCCAGTGAGTGGGGCGGAGGGGTGTAACCCGAAAGACAAGGTCACTGGAGGCAGAGGGGACCCAGGGGTGGGGGAGAAAGAGGCTGAAATACAGGGAGATGGGGAACAAAGAAAGACTACGGAGAAAGCGCTATGGAAGGTGAAAGAGGGTTCAGGAGTTTCAAGGAACAGCTATAAGGAGAGGAAGAGAGAAAAGGGGGGGCAGAGAGGAGATGCACAGGAAAGGACAACAGTGGAGAGAAACAGGAGAGAGCTAAACAGATTGATGGGCAGCAATACACCTTCATGGAGGAAGAAGGGACCCCGATCTGGATGAGTGGAGAACTGATGGGACCTGAATGATTGAGTTGTAATATGTTGACCTGTGGCTTTATAAGCTGTGCACTTTATTTTTTTTTATTTTTATTTTTTTTAAATTTTTTAAATATATTTCTTTATTGATTTCAGAGAGGAAGGAAGAGGGCGAGAGAGATAGAAACATCAATGATAAGAGAATCATTGATTGGCTGCCTCCTGCACGCCCTACTGGGGATCGAGCCCACAACCTAGGCATGTGCCCTTGGCCAGAATCGAACCTGGGACCCTTCAGTCCACAGGTTGACGCTCTATCCACTGAGCCAAACTGGCTAGGGCAGCTGTGCACTTTAAAATCTGCTTAATTATTTCAGTTATGCAGATGAGCATGAGAATTGCAAAACTCCAGTTCAAAAGGCCCCTGTATTTTATAATTATTTGCATCACTAGATAGCTTCCATTTGCAACCCCTGTTCAGCCAGAAGGGAGAGACTTATCTTGGGTCTCTTCTCATTTCCTAGATTAGAGAGGTGAACTGGGATGAGAAATGACCAAGTCTATCACCACATGATGCTTTTTCAAAGAATATTAAAAGTGTTGGTCTTTTATTTATTTGAAATAGATTTACATTTTTCTTTCTACCTCTCTCGCATTCACTTCATCGTGTTTTTAAAAGCATATTGAAATAAATCTTTGTTTATTGAATTTCTGCCTTTTTTGTAAAAGGTCATTAACTTCTGAAATAAATATTGGTGACATCTCATAACAGCTCTTATCATTCTTTTTTAAATATGACGTAGCTTAAATAAATAAAAAACACACCCAATAAGTCATATTTTTTTAAATCCCCAGTTTTTCCCCTTTTAGTTATATTGTGTTTAGTTTAGTAGACAAACTCTATGTTCTTTCTACTCTTTATCATATGTGGAAACGTCTATTGCAACATAGTAAATAATATTAGGCTATTTCAGTGTGCACTTGGTAAGGATGGCTATGTTCTTAACAGTCAGCACCTAGTTTTAATGAGTTAGTCTAATATTCAGTAGCTCTTTTATTCCTTTTATATGATTTGTTAAATTGAGCTACAATAGTGTTCCCCTCAAGTACCTTTTCTCCATTGTCTGAGGATGTTGAAAGGTGGATTATATGGTCTTGATGCTTTACAGAGCTCATCTTTTAATGATGAAGTAATTCGATCAACATTCCCATAGCTAATATTTATTTCAAAGTTTTCACCAAAATCTGTGTGCGTCATTTTATGTATTTTAAATAATTCACTGTGAATTCCAAAAAAAAAGATGCAGGGAATGCTTGTGTCTCTTTAATAGATCTGGGGACAGACAGTTTGATGGTAGAAGGATGATGACCAGTATCTTTTGGACAGATCAGGAAATTGAGGCAGAAGAGTGAAAGGCTCAGATGCTGGTAGCAGAAGGTCCAGAGTCAAGTCAAATCTTGGCTCTGTGACTCACAAGCTATATGACTTTGGCAAATTATCTACCTGTCTGTGCCTTGGGGTCGGCATCTGTCCTGAATGGGATAATAAAGGCCCCAGCTTTGCAATTAAGTGAGTGAATTTGTAGAAAGCCCAGCACAAGACCTGTGTCACTGAGGTGCTATGTGTGCAAGTGATCACTACAAAGTGATTCTTGTTAGAGCTCCCTGTGCTCATCAGGAACCCACTGGGACTTTCCTACCCTCACCCCCTTCAATCCACCTGCCTCCTACCCCCACACCTGTTCCCAGGTTCTATCTTCCATCACAGGCATCCCATGATGCTGCTGCCCTGGGCAGGAAGTCCCGGCACCCTTGCCTGGTGTTTGAGGCCTTGGTTTTCTGTGGTATTTTTCAAGGCTTCACCCACACCCACCTAAATCTGGCTAAAGTGACTGGAACACCCTGAGCATTTTCACTCTTGGAGGGTTTGCATAGGGTTCCCCTCCCCATGCTCCATGAGGCCACACTCTCCTGGCTTATAGACTGTTGGGCCCAAATATATCCCTTATGGCCCTTCACACCCACAGTTCCCACTGAGCTCACTGTCTTTCCCTCATCTTTCTCATTACCCAGCTTCCCCTCTGTCCATTCAGTCATTGGACAAGACCCAAGGTTCTCTGTGCCAACACCTTCCCCTACCCCCAAGCTTCCCAGTCTCCAGCCCCCTTTCTTACTGTTTCCTGACTTCTGAACCCACCCATCCTCTCCTCTCCATCTCCATGGTTCTCAGCTGGCTCAGCTTCTGGCCTCTGTCCCTGGGCCCTCTTTGAGCCACAATTTGGCCTCCAGTCTGTTCGCCTCTCATGGCCCCAGTGGGGCCTTCCTGCACCCAGAACTGACCCACCCCACCTCTACTTACAGCCCTCTCATGCCACCTGTCTGCTCAGCAAATTCCACAGTCCTCAGTTTAATGAAGACCTCACCAATATGAGTCAGTGCTCCACAAGCCACAGGAGCAGAAGGTTCTAGGGACTAGAGGTAAGGGACATGGTGGAAGGCAGGGTCAGGTGCGCGTGGCCCCTTCACCAGGACAGGCACCAGCAGGTACCAGCAACAGAGGGGCCCGAGGGATTGTAAAAGCTGTTTTCCCCAGGCCTTGGGAGTCTGCGGCAACACTGCAGTGTGAAGGAGTTGAAGGGAGAAGAGGAGGGTGCTGACTGGGAAGTAGTACTGGGACTGGGAAGGAAAGAAAGACCAGCCTGGTCCTGGTTGTGATCTGGGAAGGGCTGCTGGCTCTCATCTGTCAAATGGGGACAATCATTATATCTACCTTGTAATATTGTCATAAGAATTAAATGAACACATACACAGACAGAGCTTGGGACAGTGTCTGGCACATTGGAAGTGTGCATTTTATTTTGTAATTGGACACAGATGTTTCTATTGCTTTTCTATCAGATTGTTTATTTTTTTTCTCTGTTTATGAGATCCATATGGGTGACAGGGCTCTTATCTATCTAATTCATTGCCAGAACCTACTACTTAGTGCTCATTAAATAATAATAGTTTAGTTTAAATAAATAGAGTATTCTAATGAATGACTGGATAGATAGTAAAACAATAAAACATGAAGCTAAGATGGCCCATAGGGCCCCACAACATCAGGCCTCTTTGCTCCTTCTACACTCCATCTCCTGCTCTCTCCCACTCCCTGCATCAGCTGCAGGCACAGGGGCCTCCTCACTGTTCCTTAAACACATAGGCAGGTTTCTGCCTTAGGGCCTTTGCAGTGGCTGTTCCCTTGTTCCCAACTTTCAGTGAGTTTTCCACGCTGTTGTAACATGTCTGCGTTGGGCTTCTTGGGCCCAGATAGTTTTCTGTTTATTTATTTGTTTACATTACTTATTGTCTGTCTACTGATTAGGGTGTCTGCCCCACATGTGCAAGGCCTTGGTCTTATTCCTTTTTTTGTCTTAAAAAGTTTTTTTGATTGATTTCAGAAAGAGGAAGGGAGAGGGAGAGAGAGATAGAAACATCAATAATTAGAGAGAATCATAGATTGGCTGCTTCCTGCACACCCCCTACTGGGGATGGAGCCTGCCACCAGGGCATGTGCCCTGACAGGGTATCCAATGGTGATCTCCTGGTGAGCCACACTGGCCAGGTTATTTTGTATCTTTAATGCCAGGCACGAAGGAGATGGTTAGTAAAACTTGGATGAGTAAATGAGTAGACATAAATGTAAGTACAAATAACAAATAAAGCTAAAGATGAATAATGATTGGAAATATGTGGAGAAAGTGAGAAACATACCTGAACAAGAGTTTTTTTAAATTCCCCTCTCAGAACTTGAAAGCTCTTTAGACAAATACAACAGGAACAAAAAGACTCTGAATAAAACCATGATATAAAGTTAAGAGTGTATATACACACGGTTTCAACTCCAATCCTACCAAAAAAAAATATTTTCCT